ATATCTCCAAAAACAGAATATATCTTAAAATAGATACCATCTTATAAATTGGCAGTACTTTTTTCTTTCTTGGTAATACATAAAGTCATGTTACAGCTTAGAATAAATGATGTATTATTGTTTTTTATGAAATGCACATACTAGATCTGTTACATTAAATCAGCAATTTTCAATCTTCTTCATCTCATGGCACACTAATTACTAAAATTCTGCAGCACACCAAAAATTATATTATTTTTGCCCATCTGACAAAATAAAAAAGGTGTAATTTTGATTCATTCACACCTGATGGATACTGTTTATGTTGGCTAATGTCATTTTTTAATTTGACAATCTAAGGGAAAAGAGGTCAGTGCCCCTGACTAGATATTGCATTATCTTAAAAATTTTTTTGTGGCATACTGCTTGAAAATCGTTGCATTAGATCTTAATGAGTTATATATAATACTATATTAAAGGTATCCTGAAAGAATGGGAATTCCACAATCATAGGAGGTAACAGTAGAGTTCTACCTATTTGAACAGTGTGTTGCAATCTACTGAGATTTACCTATTCCTAATTATGCGGGTCTGCAGATTCTATCCAGTTTAATGGTACCTTGAAGAAATTAGTCACTGAAAATAATAGTATGAATGCAAAGTATAAAGAGAATATTAAGAAAATAACTGCAGTCGAAACCGGTTTGGCTCAGTGGTAGAGTGTCGGTCTGTGGACTGAAAGGTCCCAGGTTCGATTCTGGTTAAGGGCATGTACCTGGGTTGCGGGCACATCCCCAGTAGGGGGTGTGCAAGAGGCAGCTGGTCGATGTTTCTCTCTCATTGACTTTTCTAGCTCTCTATCTCTCTCCCTTCCTCTCTGTAAAAAACCAATTAAATATATTTAAAAAAAGAAAATAACAGCAGAGAAATTTAAAAGATAATTTGATAAGAACTGTATAAAAAAATTCTAAAGACCATTCAAAATATGACATTATATGAACTTTACTTTAAGTGTATATTTGAGACATTATCTAATGATAGTAGTACATGTGTACATATTATAAACAAACACTTGGAAGTGTATTTGAAATTTTTCTTACTAAAAAGATGCACAACTAAAAGATTTAGAGATAAATGGAATAATACAACTCAATTCTGGCCTTTTAAAAAAATCCCTTGGTAAGGTTTCTTTTTGTTAAATAAAATGTTATGTTAAATAACATCATCTCACAACTGATGGTGGTGGTAGTGGGAGGAAAGTGGTTTGTGCAGAAAAAGGAAATTACAACTGCATTTTACATGATAAAGGCACCAATAAAAAGTATGGTTAAGATTTTGTATTTGCAAATAAGGGTACTTGCTGAAATTCAGCTGTAATTTCAAAATAAACATTCAGAGGCACTTTCTCAGTCTCTCAAAGGTATGTGAAGAGCAGGGAAAAACTTGAGTTGCCCCATGCACAGTCCCAGCTGAGGTAAAACAAGGAGATGCTTTTACATTGTTTCAGTTCTCATACTGTAGTGTCCTTTTGGCAGTATATATATAGTTCTATGTTATTTGCTTTTTGCTCTTTTTGCTAGTGACTTTGCTATTTAAACTGGCTCCCAAATGTAGTGTTGAAATGCTATCTAGTGTTCCCAAAAACAAGAAGGCTGTGATGTGCCTAGAGGAGAAATTGTGTATTACATAAACTTCATTCAGGCATGAGTGACAGTGCTGTTGGCCATGTGTTCAATGTTAATAAAACAATATATATTAAATAAGGTGTCTTTAACAGAAACAAAAATTTTAAAAGTTATATAATGACTAGAGGCCCAATGCACAAAATTCGTGCAAGTGTAGGCCCTCGAAGCTCCAGGTGCCTCAGCCCTTGCAGCCCAGCTGCCTTGTGGCCCTGCCCCCCACCTACCAGTCGTTCTATCATCCAGTCTAATTAGCATATTAGCTCTTGATTATTCAGGATTGGTTTATTAAACTGTGACCAGAGGCTTGCAGAAACCTAGCTTTGTATTTCACCTGAGAGCCATGATTCAGTATACACTAACTTAGTGTTTATGGTGACTTTATAGAACATAACTAGCGAAAACAACCAGAATTAAGTTACATCCCTGGCCTTTTTTATATTAATATGAGATTTGTTTGCCTTATACCCTGTTCCAACATTTAAAGTTAGACCACTACATTACACTTATTAGTTTCTGAATTTTAAGTGCATTGTAATTGAGTTATTTATTTTCAGTCCTTTTATATAAGAGAGGGAATACTGGTTGTATTAAAATTACACATTACAAAAAGTTTGTTTCAAATGTGTTCAATTATACTTTTGTTTCAGCTCAAAGAGGCTCTCATAAAGTCACTAATATTGTTTGCATAGGCTGTGACATAAATATATAAAATGTATATTGTACAGCTGACCCTTGAACATTGTTGGGGTTGAGGTGCCAATTCCCCCAAAACTTAATTACTAGGATCTTACTGTGACCAGAAGCCTTACTGATAACATAAACAGTATCTTGTATGTTATATATATTACGTACTGTATTCTTAACTTAAGCTAGCGCAAAGAAAATGTTATTAAGAAAATCAAAACTGGGCCTATGTAGTTCAAACCCATGTTCAAAGGTCACCTGCATTACCAATATAATCAGTTTCTCTGCTTTACCGTCATGTAACATTGATTATTACTTGGAGCCAAACATCACGAACCTCAATGAATTAGGCAGCTCCTTTTAAAGACAAGATTACAACCCTCTAACTAGAACAATCAGTCACCCATCTTGTAAAAGGCCCCTTTTGAATGAAATCTCCCCAGATAGGAAGCAGCTCCTACAGAAGGAGTAACCCTATGTAGGTGAGTCAGTCTAGTAAGTACAGTGACTTTCAAAGTAGAAAGATCTGGAGATAACCCCAATTATATGAGGCCAACCCATACATAAAGTGGGGCTATGTATAGGATTTTATGGTAGGTCAAAGTAGAGAATAAAAGGAAGCTAAGAAAACAGAGAAAAACAGAAGAAAATTACAAGTCACTTGGTAGCCAAACAAAAAGTTCACACTGAAGGATATCTAAAAACATAAATGCCAGTGAGAAATGTATTCCTGCTGCATAAGAGCCTTCTATAGTTTGTTTTGACTTTTTTTTTTTTTTTTTAACTATCTTGGTATTCCTGAAATACTTTTCTGGTGAGATCCTGCTTTTTAAATCCCATGACCTACAACCATCAACCACTACTCCTCATCCCCATTTGAAGTGGCTTACCCCAAACAGAGGTTGGAAAATTGTATTAGAGAATGAAAGAGTCAAGCATTCCAGAGTGGGACTGGGGGAGTTGCTAGACAAACTAGGGTCCTTTTCAACCCCAAAGTCATGATCCTACTTATGCTTCTTTTAACACAAATCCACATAAATTTACCATCACCAAGTAGTATCTCCTTTTATAGACCCAAAATGGTCCTTTAAAAAGGGGTGTGCCCTAGTTCCAATACTCTAAGTTTTCCTGAACATCCTCATTTTAACTTTATGACTTTACGGATTTCAGTAAGTTTTCTTAAGTCTTATTTCCAAAATATAACATCTTCATATTTTTTTAAATGTATTTTATTGATTTTTTACAGAGAGGAAGAGAGAGGGATAGAGAGTTAGAAACATCGATGAGAGAGAATCATCGATCAGCTGCCTCTTGCATACCCCCTACTGGGGATGTGCCCGCAACCAAGGTACATGCCCTTGACCGGAATCGAACCCAGGACCCTTCAGTCCGCAGGCTGACGCTCTATCCACTGAGCCAAACCGGTTTTGGCATCTTCATATTTTTTTTAGTATTTTATATCAAGCCCTCTAGCACTGCTAACCCAGTGGAATATTTTATAGCACATATACTGCATTGCAATTTCTTTCTTTTAAAATATATTTTTACTGATTTCAGAGAGGGAGGGAGAGGGAAAGAGAGAACTATCAATGATAAGAGAATCATTGACTGCCACCTGCACGCCTCACACTGGGGATGGGAGCCCATTATGTGCCCTGACTAGAAATCCAAGATGCTCATCCTCTGAGCCACCCCAACCAGGTTGCAATTTTTGTTTTTTCATTGAGCACTGCTCCTTGGGTGTCTTTCTCTGTACACAAATATCTCATTCCCTTTAAAAGGCTGGTATGTTGTTCCATTACACAAATGTACCACAATTATTAATGGACTGTGGGTGGGTTGCTTCCAATGATTTATTATTACACACAATACTATGAGTCAACATCTTTTCACTCGTGTTACCTGTGAGTATGCAACCAGTAGCTGCGTTATTACTGGATTATTTTAAATTGCTACTTTCTGAACTGTCTGAGCTTACGTATGTCTGGAAAGAAGAACCAAGACTTAGAAGGCACTCAAACTCTCGCTGCGGATGCAAATATATTTAGCAATAAGTAACTTTCCACTAACTATAAATAAAAGACTTGGAAATTTTTCTGTCCTCTCACGTGCAGAGGCAATGACCCACCAGGACCAGAGACTTCGAGCATAGCACGATGCCTTTGATAATGTGCACGTAAAATTTAGAAAGGACATTTAAAAAAATGAAGAAATTGTTGTTGGTTGTTGTTTTTTTGTTTTGTTTTGTTTGTAAATTAGAGTTCCCAGGCCCAGGGCTCCCACGCCAGGAAAGCACTTTAATTACTGAAGAATTTTAGAAACCTCGGGTACGAGATTAATAAATAGTAAACGCTTAAGAGGTGACGCTTTGAAACTTGGGTGTGATTCTTGAATGTCCCCAATATCCGAAAGTTCAAAGGTTATGCTGTGTGCTTTAAAAAAATATTATATATGCGTATGTACTTAAAAAAAAAAAAGATAAACACTCCATAGCTCCTTCGACTCACCCCACTCTCCGGCCGGCCGGGAGGGGACCCGAGCGGCGCCCGAGCAGCATCCTCCCAGCCGCCCCGCCCGCCGCCGCGCTCGGGGCCGGGGCCGGGGCCGGGTCGGTAACCGCCGGGCGGCGAGCGGCCGTCCCGGGGGACTCACCTCAGCTCTTCGTCGACACTCTTGCTGGGCTGCTGCTCGGCGGCGGCGACCACAGAGGACGTCGTAGAGGTCTTGTTCTTGAGGATCCCCTTAATGGGCCGGTGCGAAGCCGTCGAGGCCGCCATTTCCCGCCCCTTCGGCGGTAGGCTCAGGGTCGCTGCTGGGCGTCGGGTCCGGGAAGGAAAGGAGCGGGCGCGAGCCGAGACGCGCCCGGCAGCCGCCGAGCCCGCCCCGGGCTAAAGCGACCGCACCTGCTGTCGCGGAGGCGGCCACCGGCGTCGTCCCCACGACACAACGACCCCCGCGTTTCGGCGTCCAGCCGGCGCCGCGCGGGCTGGCGGTTCTACGCGCGCCCCCGGCCACCGATGCTGCACCGCGGGTGGCGGAGAGAAGCCGGCCTACGGCTCCAGCGCGGGAGCGACGCCGACGCCGAAGCCGGGCGGGCCCGCCCTCTCGCGATATCTAGGGGAGGCGGGGCGGGGCGGGGCGGAGATGGGCGGGGCTAGAACAAAGCCAACCTGCTGGTCCCGCCCCCTCCGGGCCCTCTCCGTGGACTTGCCGGTACCTCGGGCACGGGAGCCCAGGAGCCGCTTCAGAGAGCCTCCAGAGAGGTCCCCGGCTGCCTCTGTGCAGAGCTGTACATCTCTCCACGCACCCGCAGCCCCACCAGCTTAGTAAGTCCATGTTGTGATCTCTGTGTCTTACAGGTGGGGAAGCTGGAGCTCAACGGTGACATCATTCCTCAAAGAGCCTGGGTGACTTTCAGAGAAAGAAACCTCACCTCTTTCCTGACACTGAAAGTTGAACACTGTTATAGGCCGAAACCGGTTTGGCTCAGTGGATAGAGCGTCGGTCTGCGAACTGAAAGGTCTCAGGTTCGATTCCGGTCAAGGTCATGTACATTAGTTGCGGGCACATCCCCAGTAGGGGGTGTGTAAGGAGGCAGCTGGTTGATGTTTCTCTCTCATTGATGTTTCTAACTTAATATCCCTCTCCCTTCCTCTCTGTAAAAAAATCAATAAAATACATTTTTTTTTTTAAAAAAGTTGAACACTGTTATAAAACCGTGGCATGTCAGCTTTGAAAGGATCCTTGGAGACCTATTGTGAAATCATAGAAAACTGACTTTTATGAAATCATAGAATATCAGCATTGAAATAGTCTAATTTACTTTTAGAAATAAACTTGGGAGAAATCGAAGGACAGAGAGGGGCAATGACTTGACCTCTCTGTCACACTGCCCATCCACAGTGCATGGTCATAGAGCTTCAGGTTTGTAGTCTGATGTTTGCATACTTTACCGCATTCTCCTTCTGTCTTAGTAATTCCAAGGAAGGTATTACTGGCAAAAGTTCCTATAATTGTGGTTTATAATGTCTTCCCCCCAAAATCTAGGGAATGCAGTGTTTCCCAGAGGTACGGGAAGAGTTTGGTGGGGGAACGCGTTGCATCGGAGTTTGGTGGGGATATGCACTGCAATGTGCTTAGCTGCGCCTAATTCTACATTCTCATGAGTACGAGGGGTACTCAGCGTTACGAAAATTGTAGAAGGGATACACATATGTCAAAAGTTTGGGAAATACTGATGACACTATGTGAATTAAGGTAAAATAGGCCAGAAGCCTTGGAAGCTTTCTAGGTTTCTTTGTGAAAGTCTCAAAGAAGAAAAACAAAAAGCAAAACCCTCATACACTCTCTCCAAGTTTTTCTGTGTCTGGGTGTAAATAAAAGATCCCAAGGAGGACTTTGATAAGAGAGAAGGAAGAAAGCTCAAGGCTCTAGGGCAGGGGCAGGGAACTTTTTTCTGTCAAGGGCCATTTGGGTATTTATAACATCACTCGTGGGCCATACAAAATTTCATCTTAAAAAATTAACCTGCTATATTTGGTCAAACGTTTAATCAACTCACTCCTAAGGCCTTGACAGGGCCAGACCAAATGATTTTGAGGGCCTTATATATAGCCCCTGGGCCAGATGCTCCCCACCCCTGCTGTAGAGTGTGAGGATATGTGGCGTGTCCAAGGTGAGAGTGGTGTGGATGTCATGAGGGGAGGCAGTGCTATGGAGAATAGAGAAGGGCAGAATTTCAAAGCCCTGGGAACAATCTCAGAACTAAATGTTGTACCTAAAATTAAGCACGGGCCAGCAGAGGGAGTGATGTCCACTCTAGCCACCCAGCCTCTCTTCATGCAGTGTCAGTACTGGAAATGTATAGTTGGGAAAAGAGGAGGTCTCAGCCATTAAGCAAGTTGATTCCTATTGTGTGTTGAATTACGTGTCCCCCTAAAATTAAGCTATATTGAAGTCCTCACTCCCAGTACCTTGGAATATAACCTTATTTGGAAACGGTAATTGCAAATCAAATTAATTAAGTGAATATGTCACACTGGAGAAGGGAAGGCCTCTAATCCAATATGACTAGTGTTCCTAATAAGATGGACATGTGGAGACAGGTGAGGAGGATTCCATGTGATGACAGAGGTTCTCAGTGATGCATCTGTAAGCTAAGGAACACTTGGGCTACCCACGGCTGGGAGATGCGTGAAACAGATTCTCCTTTAGGACTCAAAAGGAACCAGCTTTGTTGATACCTTAAGTTTGGACTGTGAGACATCAAATTTCTGTTGTTTAAAGACACCCAGTTTGTTGTATGTTTGTTATGACAGCCCTCTTCACCTCCTCCCCTTCTACTCCTACCTCCGGTCCCCACCTGCCACATCACCAGGCTTTTTCTCACCACTCTTTCCTGGTCAGGCCTCTTCATCATCCTTATGACAGTCCAGAGCAGACTAGTCCACCCAGACCTGGCTCCTCAGCGCACCCGCCCCCTGTGAATTCACAGACTACCAGGTCTGGAGAGGACCTTGTCCGTCCCACCAGGCAGCTATCCAATCCCCTCTCCGACAACCCTGGTGGCTCACCACCCTACAACACAGCTCATTCTGTCTTTGGACAGCTCTGACGAAGAAAGCTTTCCCTCAGATTGAGCTGACACCTTGTTCCCAGCAATGTCTGGCCACGGGTGCCAGCGGTGGGAGGAGAGAATGGGGATGGGGCAGGGCTATCTCTATCTTACCCCCCTGGCAGTGTTCTCACTCACGTCTCCTGTTTCTAGGCCCCAAATCTCACACCTGCCTTACCTCCGTATCTGTGCCTGGAGGAGCAACATTTAGTTCGTTGGCCTTAGGACTCTGCTCCTCAGGAACAATTTCAGGGTCCATGAACATAATTCTGTTTTTGTTGCCTGGCCCCCGGCCTGTAGCTGAGTTTCTGGCCTCAGGAAAGGGAGGAATGCCGAACGGAGATAACAGAGGAGGAAGTGAGCAGGCAGGATAGAAGAGCAACCGCTTTGCCAGTCAGAGCTGCTGTTTTCCTTGGCGATTTCCCCAAGCAGAGGCCTTCACGGCCACCCCGTGGCACCTCCCTCTCTCGGCCTCACTTCTGTTTTTGGCCACAGCTTTCCCACCAGGAGGTGGGTCTCACATCACACTCTGACAGCCCTGCCCTGCCCCGGAGGCAGAGAGAGGGTTCTCACTGAGGGGTGAGCAGGATGGTCCCCTCCCTTCCTGTGTCCTTTCTACCACAGGTTACAACACATGCCTCCTTTGCCCTGTCAGCGGGAGCTCCAGTCAGCGGTGCTCATCCTGTTTGAAAAGGGAATACATAAAACTTCCCTCCGTGTTCTAAATTATTGGGCTGCTTTGCTTTGCTCCTTCCTGGGTGTCACCTTCCTGGACCTAACCTTGACAGGGCCCTTAATTCAGCACCACCTCGCTGTCAGACACGCTAATGAAAAGGACTGCCACAGCATGACACCCTGTGTTTTATTACAGTTAATAACACACTGGGATGGGAGTTCTCTGAAACATTTTGAAAAAAACGTTTCCCTTATTAAAAGTCAAACTTTTGCTTCTTGCATTATTTCTTCCACTCTGAACCCCACTCACAGTGCATGCAGATGAAGAGGGATTTCTTAATGTTTTTTTTTTTTTTTAAATAAAATATTAGTGTGACTAAGTTTGTAAGTGCCCGTACAGCTTGCCTTTGTTTTATAGAATCATGGAACCACCGTAATCCTCAGTGTAACCCAAAGAAGATTTCCAAATGCTTCTAACCAGAGCTCTTCTTCAATGCCTCGGCTGAGATCTGCTCTTGTAGGAAGTCATCTCAACCACGCCCTGAATGTTGCTGTAGTTGTGTTAAGTTTCCTGTGTGTCCAAGAGATGGATTGTGAACATTCTGCTTTCAGTTTTCGGAAGTAGCTATTGAGCTCAAGGCAAATCATATATTTAAAAACATATACGCATTTAAGGCTTAGCTGACAATTATTTCTTCTCTCTTTTTGAAGACTTCATTGGTTGTCTGATTCAACACTATTTACAGGGAAGAGAAGAGGAGACACTTTTAATGTACCCCCTTACATGGCTGAGCCAGTTGGCTCTCTGCTCATTGGAACAGGCTACTGAGGTCAATGCTACTTGATTTCTCATGAGAAGAGAATTCCAAAGCTGGAAATAGCTTCTCTGGCTGGCTCCACCCTGCCAGCCTAAATCATCCACCAGGGTTCACGGAGCGGAGACACAATAGTGCCCACCCCCAACCTCTGGAAAAATACCTACAGGTTGTGGCTTAATGACCAATGAGTCAGCTGCATCTCTTTCTTTGCCAAGAATAGCACATTGTTTTTTGTTTTTGTTTTTTAATCAGATAATCCCTCCATGAGACTAGGAAATGACAGATTTTATAGTGCATGATAGAAGTTCGTGGTAGCAGGGGCAAGATTATTTGAACAAAATACAGAAAGTAAGAGAGAGAGAGAGAGAGAGAGAGTGCACGCACTAAGGACAAAGATTAATCATTTTCTGTTTACAAAATGGCTATGGTTTGTAATTGTGGCACTCTCCACCTTTCTCTTTTCCTCTAAGACAGTGGTTGGCAAACTCATTAGTTAACAGAGCCAAATTTCAACAGTACAATGGTTAAAATTTCTTTTAATAGCCAAATTTTTTAAACTTCTAATGCCACTTCTTCAAAATAGACTTGCCCAGGCTGTGGTATTTTGTGGAAAAGTCACACTCAAGGGGCCAAAGAGCCGCATGTGGCTCCAGAGCCAAAGTTTGCCGAT